CAAATGAATAGAAATGCTACATGGCCAGCGGAAAAGGGCGGACACCAGCAGTGACAGATGTGTTGGGCGTAAAAGTGTCTATATGCACGGCCCAAACTTGGGTGACCTGACTGGCCAGTTGTGGTGTCAGATGTTCCAAATGGATTGGCGGTGTGCCATCATCTGCAATCCACATGAGGTCTCTGTAGATGAGGATGTGGCTAGGTCCTCGGTGACAAATGAGTGCCGCCAGTACAAACTCTGGGGCAAATCCATCCAGAGACCTAGGCACGGTGAAGGTGCCATAGGGATTGAGGATTTTGGTGCGCTTGGTTGCGATGCCTTCAACACATGTGTTGCGAGTGATGTGACTGACCAACACCGGTTTGTCATCCATCAGGTATTGTCCCAATCCTGCGTTGGCCCAGCCATTGAACAGGTCTTGGAGGCTTGTGTTGTCTGGCCAATCATCTGGATATGGAATCAGGATGGGTTGCTGGACGTGATCACGCAGGTACCCACCTTCTTGGATCTCTGCAAACCGAGGGTGGAATGCTCGTGTCTGTGACAGGTTCCACAGTGTGTTGACAAAGTGGTTGGCATCTCCTTGGACATTGAGGTTGCGCTTCTGCCACAATGGATGCAGGCCTGGTAATTGATGCATGTCGACGGCTCCAGCAAGTTCAAGGGATTCTTGGACCGCTGCTTGTAAGTTTCCCCATGGTTGGGTGTTCGTCTCTTGGAGCAACGCACAAGTCCATGCGAATGCGCGTTGGCATAGCATCTGGCGCTTGGGTTGCCAACTGTCATGGTGAGGTTCTGCAGGATGCATTCCGTAGTGGAAGCATAGGTGCCTTGCATTGATCCAGCTGGTGCGTTCGTCTGTTCGCTGAGACTGGAGTCGGTTCCACCACCTTGTATGGGAATGACTTCAGGGCCAGGTGCGCCAGGGAGCTGCCCAACAACGTGCGAGGAGTGCAAAAGATGCAAAAGGTGTCTCCTTGTGAAAACCAGGAGTGAACAAGTCCTCATTGTTGGCAAGAGTGTAATCCTCTGCACTCTTGATTGAGGTGTCCCCAAAAGTTTCTGGAACTTGAAAAAGTTGGCTGAAATGGTGATGTGTCTGTTCCCCTGCACATTGTACCATTTGTGTCTTTCCCCCATCTGCTGAGCTTGACGCAGCGCGGCAAACCATCATGGATTGTGGCGCCCACTCAAAATCATCAAGGGGAACCGGCACCTGGATCCCTTGAAACCCCCGGAGTGGTAGCTGGTTGTTGTTACCCACACTGCCCTCCCGGCGGCAGTGGTGCAGGAGTCTCTGTTTTCCTGCGCTTGCTGGGGTCTTCTGGCTCCGGATTCGGCCTTTCGAGTAGGCCATGTAGCTGGGTGCGCTGCTCTTCAGTGAGCACAATGCCCAGGCTGGTGACAAGAGTTTCCACCGCCATTGGGATGGGCAGTTCAGGGTCTTCATGTCCCACTTCTGCTGGCATTGGCGTCTTGTTGACTGCTTGCGTGCACTGCTCAGACAAGGTTTTGAGCTTCTGTTGGCCGTCGGTGAGCCTGGTTTGGTGCTCTTGCATGTCTTGCAACATGGAGGCATACTGGCTCTTGATCTGGTCCAACCTGGTTTGGAGCTGTGCTTTCTTCATCGAGATGGTTTTGAGCTCAGTAACCTGAGTTTTGAGCTTCTGCGCAAGCTCCTTTTCCGTATCCGGGATGGGCTGGTGCAGCTTGTTGACGACGTCCTTGACTGCTTGTGGTAGATCTTTGAGGTGTGTCTGCAAGACTTCTGCTAGGCCTGGTTCCTCAAGTTGAGGTGGGCCGTATCCAAGTGCTTGTAGCTTGCAGTGGATCTCGTTTGGGATCACTTCCCATGTGGTGGCCAGGAGTTCAACTGCTGTCTGTTGTGTTGTATTCTTCTTAAGTGGTTTGAGCTTGCGCAAACCTGGTGGCTTGTCTAGTAGTTCATCGGTCTGGTTCTGTTTCGGCCAGTTTGCATTGGCGTAAGTCTTCATGCCATTGCCGTGGCCTTGGCCTTTTCCTTTCCCGGTAGGTACTTGTCCTTGTTGCCACCATGTTCCGCATCTTCTGCAGCGTGTGCCTGGATTTTTCTAGTCATCCCAAATCCAGTTATTGCACTGCTTTTGGCCGCAGACGGTGTATGTTCTACACCAGGAACTGGTAGGGGCCATGTTGCAGGCCGGCCGGGAGCCCGACCAGACCATCCAGCACCAAGGCGACCATTCTTTAAAGCATTGAGAACCCCTAACAGTATACTGTTTGGGGAATGAAAGGAAGTGAGAGACAAGCCGGCCGGGAACCCGACCACAAGCCTGCCGCCCACAAGCACCCAGCCTGGGAAACAAATGAAAAGAACTGTGAGACAAGTGAAAAGAAGTGGGAGACAAGCCGGCCGGGAACCCGACCACAAGCACCCAGCCTGGGAGACAAATGAAAAGAAGTGGGAGACAAATGAAAAGAAGAAGCCAGACAAAGACAAGGGGGACACAATGACCAAGAAGGGAGACAACAGAAAACAGAAGGGGGACAAGGCGGACACAGTGACCCACAAGAAGGGAGACAAGACCGTAACAAGAGGGAAACAAAAAGGAAACAATACAAAAGATAACAGAAGGGAGACAAGACGGACACAATGATCAACAAGAAGGAGACAAGAAGGGAGACAAAAGCAAACAGAAGGGGGACAAGACGGACACAATGACCCACAAGAAGGGAGACAAGACCGGAGACAAAGAAAGAATGAAGGGAGACAAGGCGGACACAGTGACCAACAAGAAGGGAGACAAGAAGGGATACAAAAGGAAACAGAAGGGAGACAAGGCGGACACAGTGACCAACAAGAAGGGGGACACAGTGACCACCAAGAAGGGAGACCAAGGGAGACAAGCCGGACGGAAGGCGAACACGCTGTCGGCAGCTAGGCGGACACTCTTAGAAAGCATTTAGAACCCCTAACAGTAGCCTGTTTGGGGAAGTACAGAAATCACTTGGGAGACAAACGAATAGAAATGCTGGAAAGGGGAAAAAGGCGGACGCCAGCAGTGCAGGCACCGAACCTGGAAAACAAAAGTAAACAAACCACATGGGAAACAAATTAATAGAAATGCTGCATGCTGCATGGCCAGCGGAAAAGAGCGGACCTGGGAGACAAAAGTATAGAAAGCATTTTAAAGACAAACGAATTGAAATGCTGCATGGCCAGCAGAATTGGGCGGACACCAGCAGTGACAGAAAGGGCGGACACATCTTAAGGAAGAATTCAGAAACCCTGCGTAAAGGCAAACTGCTTGGGGAATGAATATGAATAGAAATGTTGCATTGCCAGCGGAAAAGGGCGGACACCAGCAGTGACACATCTCGGAGACAAATGAACAGAAATGCTACATGGCCAACGGAAAACGGCGGGCACCAGCAGCGACAGACCTGGGAGACAAATGAATAGAAATGCTACATGGGCCAGCGGAAAAGGGCAGACGCCAGCAGTGACAGACCTGGGAGACAGATGAATAGAAATGCTACATGGCCAGGGGCGGACACCACCAGTGACAGACCTGGGAGACAAATGAATAGAAATGTTGCATCGCCAGCGGAAAAGGGCGGACACCAGCAGTGACAGACCTGGGAGACAAATGAATAGACATGCTAC